CTTTCCCTATCTCTGTCTCTTGACGGAGATAGCCTTGGCGATTGACTGCGAGAATACGATCTAGATCTGTAAAGCGAAAAATGTCAAGCATTTGTTTAATCATGTCAAGCGAAACTTGATGAATTCAATGACAAGAAGCATCGCATACTCTCTTTAAAACCATAAAAATACCTGCTAATGGAGAAGCTGCCGCTTCGTGATCTACGTTTCGGGGTACGACTACGAGGTCTGAGCGGCAATGGCGATCTCGATGATCTCCGTTTCGATGGCGGACTGCGAGATCGACTAATGCGAGACGTAAATGGTGATCTCCGACTGAAAGAGCGCGATCTCGATCGAGTGTAGCTACGCGATCTCGATCGTGTTCTGCTTCTTCTTCTGTGCTTTCCTAAACGTCGATCTCTTTCGTCCTTCTCTCTGAGCATACGCTCAAATGCCTCCAATGGATCATCGATAATACTGAAAAAGATAAAGGTATATCCGTGATGATGATTCAATGAAAATATTTAATATATTTGCATTGATTAAGATTAACATGGAAAATTAATTTACCCAGGTGGATTTCCATTGTGTATGCTTCTACCTAAACCTGGTGGTGGTGGTTGCAAGTTTCTATATCCCACTGAAACAAAATATATTCATAATGAAATATATATCAATAAATAATGCAATACAATAAGTTATGCAAAAAAATAAAGTAGATTATTTAATAGATACGAGTAAATATATATGATTGTTAAAAATTGTATTTACTTTTAAAAGTACTATGAAAAGATATATACAGTCAATAAAGATTATAAATTGTAGATTCATAATTATAATTTTATATATAACTATAAATGCTTGTATAACTATAAATGCTTGTATAATTATCGATGCTTGTCATGATCGCGATGACATTTAAGCAAATACTTCAAGATATGAATCAATTCTAATAACAAAAGCAAAAAGTTATACACAAAATGTACAATAACTTGCTTTGTTTTAGAACAAATGTTTTTTGTATTTCTACGCTAAAAGTAAAAGTCTCAAGTTTATTTATATAATCTGATAAATTTATTAAATTGCGCTTACTGTGGTGCAGTCCTCTCATTGGTCTAGGCGGCCCGTTGTAGTTTCGAGGTGGCTGCGACGGTCGATATCCCTGCTGCTGGTAAGGCGGTCTATCGTATCTCGGCGGTCCATAATGAGAGCTCTGCTGATGCGGATATATCGGTATTCGATGATTCAAGTATGGATCCGGCAATAGTGGGGGATTATGCGGGGGTACATTCGGTGGTGGTTGATTGTAATTCGGCGGAGGGATACGCTCCTCGCCCGGTGGAAACGGCAATAATGGTGGTTGATTGCCGGACGTGGGGACATGCAAATGCGGTTCGTCGACCTAAAGATCACAGAAGCATACGATAATGAAAATAATGCATATGTTGAAGTTATGATTATTATCCATTCAAATATAGAGAACGATCGCTTACCGTTGGAGTACCCGCGCGGTCCTCGTTAGATCTACGTATTCCACTGTCATAATGCATAGCAGGCGGATAATGTCCATCATCTGCTAGATGACCTTGATAACCCTTAGAAGAAGGTGGGTTCATTAAATGAGGCAGCACTGCGCTCGATGATGATGGATATTCGCCGTGCTGGGAATGTCTAGGTGACAGGGATCGATTTCGGCTGCGATTCAGCGGACGTAAATTCTCAATCCTTCGACCACGTTCTCCACTTCTAAATTATATAAATGTGGATAATTTAACTATTCTATGTCACATCCTGATATAAATTCGATAGTGTACTTGATCGCGAAACCGCTTACCTCTCACGATGTCCATCCCTGCTAAAACTTCGTCGACGCTCCCTCGATTGACGCTCCCCGGCATACTCATTGTCCCGTTCTTTCTTATCACGACTAGGAGGATCACTTCGCTCGCGTTCTCTCTCCGGCGAACTTACGATAGCAGGGATCGGAAGTAAAGGCTCTGTCCCTGGAGGAGGAGGTACCTCAGTTTCCTCGTCAGCTGTTAGTTTTGTTACCGAATCACTTTGCAAATGCGATTCTGAAGTGGGTTCAGGCAGAGCTGTCAGAAGCACACATCACGTACGATTAGGCGAGTCAAATCGGCGATTAAAGCCAGCTAAAGAGCAGATTGCGATGCAAATGGCACTTTGAGTTACGGCACGTAAAGACGTATCACACTGTTTGAGGTTATGTAAAATTGTCAGCTGGCCAGTACAAACTCGAAATACTTATATCGTCAACAATATATATATATTATAGCACGAAATTAAGCAGCGATCGAATGCATTTCATTGCAACGAAGCCATGTTTCTAAATATTATGCGCCACGTGAATAAAAAATGCCAAAACTAAATTAGTCACATACTCCAATATAATGGCGCCTGTCTTTCTCTCTCTCTTCTCTGTTTATGTACGAGAAATATCGTACGGAAAGGCAGAAAGTTCAACATTGAAGAAAAATATATAGACTATATGTAAAATATATATATGACATTAAATATCATATAATATTAAATAAAGTTTCATATACGAACAATGAAATGAGAAATCAATACATTGTCTTTTTGTCCTAGTGTTTACATTTATATTAGCCTTTGGATAAGGAAATATTCTTTTTTCTCATTTTATTTTATGATGTAGGTCAAGAAGTCTAAAATATACATCAATTTATTTGCATTATTTGAATTTGAGTAAAATTATTTAATTAATTTAGAAATAAAAATTTGTAAATAATACTCAATTAATAAGATATGTTTGTGTTTATAAATTATTTCTTATTTTTAATTTATAATAAAAAAATAAAGAAATTCATAAAATTAATTTAGGAAAGGCTTCGAGAATAAGTAATAATAAAAATATAAAATGGCAATAGGAACCGGCGTAAGTCAGGTGCAAATAAATTAATGCACAATTAATTGATCAAAACCATGCGATGAAACGCATTTAAATTTATTAGTTTAAAATTAATTAAAAACGGAAGCGGACGTCCCTTTTTGGACTTTTATTAGCGCGATATAAAAAAGATTCAAAATAAATACAATGTAATCACACACAATATCGGTCAGGTATACAATAATAAGTCGTGGTCAAATATCTAAATGTAATCCTCCGCAGGATATGTCCCTCCACGGCAGACTACGGAGGCCACGTGAGGCGAATAAGACCAATATCCATCCGTAATCCCCCCATGAGCACCAATAAAATGTTTATGTATAAAAATCTGAAAAGTCAGAGACATGGAGAAACAAAATCCCGGCAGAAACAGTACAAAAGAAAAACGCAAAAACTTACGTATATATGACATTTTTTATGCATGCACTCACTCAAAACTCAATAAGGAAATCAATCATCGGATAAAAAATAATCATAATATGAAAATTAATCAAATTCGCACAAATAAAATTAAGATAATTATAAAGAGCTGTAGTGCAAGAGACTAACGGTGCTCACAACGTTTTCACGTATAGTGGGTAATTTCGAAAGAGCTTAGAATATGAAAACAAAATATTTAAATAAAAGTATATATACGGAGCAGTGTATACAAACATCCAGAGCGCTAAGATTAACCTTTAGGAAGTTATCCGCCTCACACCTTTGTAGTCTGCCAATCGTGGTGGACATTATCCTGCGGAGGATTACATTTAAATATTTGACCTCTACTTATTATTGTATACCTGACCGATATTGTGTGTAATTACATTGTATTTATTTTGAATTTTTTTCCGTATCGCGCTAATGAAAGTCCAAAAAAAGGACCGAAACGTCCGCTTCCGTTTTTAATTAATTTTAAACTAATAAATTTAAATGCGTTTCATCGCATGGTTTTGACCAATTAATTGTGCATTAATTTATTTGCGCCTGACTTACCCCGGCTCTTATTGCCATTTTATATTTTTATTAAAAAAATTCACATTTTATATAATGTTATCTGATTAAATTAGCTTAATTAATAATAATGCAATAATTCTCCGTAATTTGTAGGTGCAAATTTCAAATATACAAACCTTTTGTGTTTGTAGTTTGATCTTATTAGTAATATATATAAATATACTGCTGCAATATTTTAAACATAAAATAATGTAAAAATATTATTAGAAAAACTTTAAAATCAATAAACTCTTACATATTATATGTATGTATGTATGTATTATATATGTGTATATATATATACATATATATAAATATATATTGTAAATATAGAATAAGATTATTGAGAAAATATGAGACAATATTAATATCGTGATAATTGGACGTATTTTGATACACACTGCTAGTACTAAAAGTCTATAATATACGTTATACGTAATGTAAACTATAAATTTTCAATACTAACAGTGTATATCAATGCCCTATATTTATGGTTTATCAAAATTCATATATATATGTATAATTTTCATATAGTTATATTGTAATATGGTTCCTATTTCTCTGACTCATAAATTAATACATCACACAAAATATTACAAACAAACGTTTACTAAAATTATGTAATTAAGTAGACTTTTTTAATAAAGTCAAAATAAATAATTTTCTGTGCACATTAATATAATAAAATATTTAAACATTAATGTATTTAACATTATATTAGATCTATTACTAAAGCCCTAACATGATTAAATATATATCACTGTTAGAAAAAGTGACACATGCTGTCACACACTAATTTCACGCTAGGACTCTACTTTGTTATGTATAGCAAATTATAATTATTGAACATAAATCTTTGTACAAGATATATTTTGACTCCTCATTGATATATTATAGAAATATCTATTATTATATTATATACTTGGATCTATATATTTTTGTTTTCTTTTTAGTTATATATACATCAGAACACTAACATCAGTTACCAAAAAGCACTTACTGGTTGATGTCTGTGGCTGCAAACCAGAGGTGGCAGTTGGGAAATGTTGCGAGGCAGATTCGAGATTAGTGGGTTCCGTTTCCACAGATTCTTGCGATGGTACATTAGGAGCGATGGATGATTGTATAGCTTGAGCTTGAGAAGATACTTGACTCGTAGTTTGCTGCGCTTCAACTTTGGGTTGATCCGTTGGTGCTGCAGATTGTCCACCACTTTGAATAGAAGGCCGATAAGTCTGTCTCTTGGCATAACCAGTTTCATTCTTAAAATTCATTACTGCATTACGTAAGAATCGATTTGGAATAAGAGTCTCTGGTGATACATCTTTCTCTTTACAATCAGGGCATTCATGTTCTTCAGATTCTAATAGAAATGTGCGAATACCTGTTATGCAAGAGAAAAATACAGTTATAAACAGGATAATCCTACATAGATAAGTGTAAAAAAAATGTGCGTTAATCATCTATAATTTATGATAAAAGATTTACATTCGTCACAAAAAGAATTTCCACAACATGGAATCATCACTGCATCTGTCAGAAGGTCTTTGCAAATATTGCATAACAAATCCTCTGGTATCTCTGGTTTCTCTATCACAGGTTCTGGATCTTGTGAAAATGGTGGTCGTTCCTTCTTACCTTCCTTGTAAGCTTGACTAAAGACAGAAAGAACAGTAATGAATATAAATATATAT